GGTTCACGTTTAGTCCAAACTCTCCACTATGACCTGTCTGTCTTGGGTCTCCCTGCACGGCATAGCCCATACCTTCTCTGAATTGCTCAAGCCCCTTCGCCACGACAAGGCAGAAATCCGTGAAGGGGTTAGTGAATATAAAAAAATGCATTTGAGAATAATATTGTTTCAATAAAACTATGATTTTTTAAAAGAGATTGTAATTCAGTTTTATTTTCTAGCAGAATGAAGTTCTTGAACCTAAAAAAGAAGAGTCTTTGTTAGATCTGGACTTTGATCCTTTTAAGCCTGACACTGCAGCTACTGTGCCAGCCCATTCACCAATGTCCCAGGTATTTGTTTCCCTGATTTATTTATTGATTTATTGACTTTTTAAAATATTGCCAACAGTTCATGATATGGGCAGCAAGGAGAGTGGTGTCTTGCCTCACAATTTTGATATGACGTGCCACCCTTCCCTGGTAGGGCCAGAAAGCACACTGTAGTCAGGACTGACATATTCTTAGACACATGTATGAATGTTTTTTGAAGCTTTAGGAACAAGATGGTTGGCTAAATAAAATTTCCAGTGTTTGGATGCAGATCTTTATGTCGATCCTTCTTCTTCTGCAGCCATAACTTGCAAAACTAGAACAGATTAAGGAACATAGTTCTAAAGGAAAACTTGCAAACTGATTAGACCATCCAGAGGAGATGGTTTATCTTTCTTCCCTGTTTTTACTAATTTCCCTTCATGCACAGGGACAGGATAGTTTTAGTCCCTATAGCCATATTTCATTTCGGGAGTCACACAGACTTAGATCTGTGTCTCACACAGGCATTCTGTCCTTCTGGATAGGCTGTGTCATTTGTACAGTTGTAAACAGTTCCTCCAAGCTTCATCTGCTTGCCATGTACAATGGTTGTTTTTCTTACAAACAATAGCCAGAACATCATCAAGAGAAGTCCAGGAAACTATTGCATTGTCCATGGTGTCCATGGGTCCTATTTTTATTTCAGCCAATGTAATGTGTTGGGACAAGAACTCCCATTTTTCACCACACCATTATTCAGTGAAGCAGAAAAGACATGTTCTGGTTTTCAAGTAGGCTGAGCATCATTTATGGTGATGAGGACACTGAAATTCTCATTGGAGTCAGACAGTACCAGCAAATGTATACTAAACCAGTGGTTCTTAACCTTTGTTACTCGGATGTTTTTGAACTGCAATTCCCAGAAACCCCAGCCAGCACAGTTGGTGGTGAAGGCTTCTGGGAGTTGCAGTCCAAAACTCCTGAGTAACCCAAGGTTAAGAACCAGTGTACTAAACCTTAACTGCAGAAGGAAGTAGTGGGAAGATGTTATTAAGATATGACCTCCATCTAGATCTGTAGGAGAGTATAACAAAAACCTCCAGTGGTCTGCTGTGAAATTATTAGTCTTGAGAATCTGTGTCTTACATCCAGTTTTCCATCTGCACCATAATAACATTTATTTATTTAACTTATATGCCGCCCTCTCTACCCAAAGGTCTCTGGGCGGCTTACAGCAATTAAAATACAATTACAAAGATAAAACAATTAAAATACAATTACAATATATACTGTACTCTAAAAATTGCCATCAGGACCCACGGTTGATATTATTTCAATTAAAATCCTTCTGGAACAGGAAGGTTTTGACCTGGCGCCAAAATGTCATCAGTGTTGGCAGCAGACAAATCTCAATTGGGATGGCGTTCCATAGTATGGGGGCAGCTTCCAAAAAGGCCCTTTGTCTACAAGCCATCCCTCTTACCGCCTTGAGGGACGGCTCTTTCAAAAGGGCCCCCTGGATAGATCTTAACTGCTGGGTAGGTTCATATGGAAGCAGGCAATCCTTCAGGTATCCAGGGCCCAAGCTGTTTAGGGTTTTATATGTCAAAACAAGCACTTTAAATTGGGCCCGGGCAGCAACTGGTAGCCAATGTAATTTAAACAGAATCGGCTTGATATGTCCTCTAGCAGCCCTACCACTCACCAGCCGTGCAGCTCAATTCTGGACCAGTTGCAGTCACTGGACTGTCTTCAAAGGCAGCCCCACGTAGAGTGCATTGCAGTAATCTATACAAGATGTTACCAGTGCATGTGTAACTGTCATGAGACTCCGCTCGTCCAGCTAGGGCCGTAGCTGGTATAATTTCCGCATCTGAAGGAAGGTGCCCCTGGCCACCGAGTCCACCTGGGCTTCCGGAGTCAGACTGGGGTCCAGGAGCACCCCCAGGCTCTGGACCCTGTCTCTTAGGGGGAGTGTAACCCCATTCAAGGCAGGGAAATGGTCCTTTAACCTGTCTGACAACCACCCACTAACAGCACTTCCACCTTGTCTGGATTGAGTTTCAATTTATTAACCCTTATCCAGTCCATTATCAGGTTCAGACACGAGTTCAGCACAGAAACCGCCTGTGATGTCCACCCTCGTGCCCCTTGCTTGACCTTCAAGCCTCTGAGCATATGAAGGTCCACACTTCAAGTTCTTTTAAATAAAACTTTGGTTTATTGATTACAGAGATTCATAAATATCAGTAGCTAATCACACCTAAATTTCCCAAACTACACACTCTATTACTCTGTCTGGCTTTTCTCTCCTGCTTGACTATTACAAATAAGGGAGGTTTGCCACTGGTCGGTAGTTAACCACCAGCCTTGGGTCCAAGTTAGACTTTTAAAGGATTGGCCGAATTACTGCCTTTTTCCAGGTGGTGGGGACCACTCCCTCTCCCAAAGAGGCATTCATGACCTCCTGGACCCAGGTGCGAACCCTCCCCCCCCGACAGTTCTTCCAATTAGCCAAGATGAGGAAGGTTCGAGTGGAGTGGTGGTAGAACGGACAGATCCAAGCACCCTGTCCACATCCTCAGGTCTCAACAATTGAAACTCATACATTAATACTTGACCTAAGCATGGCACACTGGACACATCCTCCAATTCTGCAGTAACGTTGGAGTCCAACCCACTGAGAATCTGAGCGATTTTTCCCTCAAAATGAATAGCAAACTCATCACAGGGAGCTGATGAGCAGTCCGGGACTTCCACCGGATTTCCCAGTGAAGATCCCAGACCACCCAAAACAGCTCTGCTGGACGACATTCTGAGGAAGCAATACATCTAGAGGAATATTGCCATTTCGCCAGCCATATTGCCACGAAATAGGCCCGATAATGGGCTCTAAGTCATGTTTGATCGGACTCCCAGCAGGATTTCCTCCACCTGCGCTCCAGCCGTCTCCCCTCTCGCTTCATTGCCCGCAGTTCAGAAGTATACCAAGGAGCTGTCTGGGCTCTGTGTGCAGGGAGAGGGTGCTTAGGCACAATCGTGTCAACCGCCCGGGTCATCTCCCTATTCAATAGGGTGACTCTAGCTTCGACAGGAGCACCAACCATAATCCCCCAGAGCATTCAGGAAACCATCGGGATCCATTAGTCTCTGAGGGCGGATCTTCTTAATAGGTCTGCCACCCTTGCAGAGGGGAGAATAAACTAATAAGACTAAACTTGACCAGGAAGTGGTTTGACCATGACAATGGGGCCACAACCAGCCCCTCCACATCCAAACCACCATCTTCCAGTCCCGTTGAGAAAACCAGGTCCAAGGTGTGGCCCTTCTCATGTGTCGGGCCGATGACACATTGAGACAGCCCCATGGTTGTCATGGTGGCCATGAAGTCCTGAGCCGCCCCAGTCAACGGAGCCTCGGCATGGATGTTGAAGTCGCCCAGCACCAACAGCCTGAGAGTTCTCAACACCAGGTCTGAGACTACCTCCGTCAGCTCAGGTAGGGAGACTGTTGCTACACAGCAGAGTGGGCAGTACACCGACAGAATCTCCAATCTGTCTCCTAAGCCCAACACACAAGACCTCCTCTCAAAGGGATAGGAAGCCTGGTCAAAGAGATAGAACTCCTATAGACTATAGCAGCTTCCCCTCTTCGACCCTCTGAGTGACATTGGTGCTGCACCAAGTACCCAGGCGGACACAGCTGGGAGAGGGGGACACGACCCTTCTCTCCCACCCAGGTCTCAGCACGCCAGGTCAGCACCCTCATCCAGAATTACATCATGGATGAGGGCAGTCTTATTTTGTACTGACCTGGCATTCATCAACAGCACCATGTGGCTCGAGGGTCTGATGATAGGGTCACCTGATACCATCTGGTTGGGGGTAGGACTAGAAGAGGGGATAGATGTAAGATATCTAACCTCTCTTTTCCTACGTGGGCATGTTCTACCCCACTGCCATTCCTTCCCCTACCCAGCACCACCTCAAGGGCTCCCCCCTTCCTGTTCCATCAGATCCACTGTGGTTTTCTATGTAAACTGATGGCGATTAATAACCACAATTAAAACAAAAAAAAGCCCCTTCTCCCCTCTGAGCCAGGTAGCTGATGTTGAGGAGGAGGTGGAGCAGCCAGAAGAAGCAAGGGCCCAGTCCTGCAAGGCCAAGGGAGTCCAAACCAAACTCCCCCAGGAAGGCTGGCAACTGGCAGCAGCACAGCTTCACTGTCTCTCACCCAGTGCCTGAGGGACATAATGTAAAGCTCATTAACTCCTTAGGTCTACTTTAGTAGGAAAACTGCCAATTAGATTCAGCCTGTATTTTCCAGAATTCTTCTAGAGCAAAAAATGAATTGCTCTCTGAGAGAATAAAGAAGAATAAAATAACCTTGGCGTGATGGAAAGTTTCTTGAGGTTTCTTGGCAGAAAGTTTCTTGGCAGCATGAGTTTGAGGTTCTTGCAGCCAAACTGAATCCTACCTGTTCCCCGCTTTCTTTTGGTCTTTTCCCTTCACTTGGTTATCATCCAAATTATTTTTCCTCACTTATCAACCCCAGGTTAAGAAGAGCATTTATGTTAGCCCGATTTAACATTTTTCCCTCAGCGAACCATACCGGTCGATTTGCAAATATTCCTAAAGAGGATCGATTATGCCTGTTTTGCCATTTGGTTCCGGATACACTTGACCATATATTGTTTTTCTGCTCAGTTCATTTTTCCATTCGTAAGGCACTACTAGAACCCTGGTTATCTTCCCTGCCGAACACCCCTGAGATTTTTCTGAATGATTTTTCCTCCCGTATCACTGAAGCTGTCGCTATTTTTCTGCTTGAGATTCTTAAATTAACTTTCAAATTATAACCCGTTGTGTTTATTGTTAGTAATCCCAGCTGTATTTATGCCAATAAAGGTTTGGAGAAAGAAAGAAAAGAGGTAAAATCAGACTTATTAACTTGATTGTAATGGTATATTATCAATATAACGATCCCAAGAAAGATGCAAATAGAGCAAGATATAGAAAGCTCAGTTCAGTTTATGGTTTCCAGCAGTTTAGAACGTCTCACTTTGCCTAAATGGGGAAAAATATTGCTCACGGCAAGCAAAGAGCATGCCAGGCAGCTGTTTTTTTCTGACTTTACATAATATGTAACACTTTATCAGATAGATAATGTTTTGTGTCTAAAATGCAAATATGTTACTCTGTTATCCATGGTATAATTATAGTACTGATTTTGTAGTTTGGTTGTATTTAATCTTAAAAATTATATTCCACTCTCCAAAAAAAGCCACAGTGCTAACCTCAGTAATAAACCTCAGTACATTTCAGTTTTCACCGCAGTCAGACAACACCCCTCAGTTCTCTTCAATGCAGTTTTTCCTAATGCATGAGGGTTAAAAAAGATTATTCATTCACCAAGAATGAATTGATGAGCTGTTGTCCATGGGAGTTGTGATACATACTCAATATCGCAAGTCTCTTCAGTATCAACAGATATTTGATTATACCCAAGGTGTGCCTTATGCAGAGTAACTTACAAAACAGGATTTCAACCATTGAATATTTATGTATGTATTTATTTTATTGTTATGCTGTGCTTCTCCCACTAGCGGACCCAAGGCAGCTCACAATAATTAAAATCATACAATAATAAGGCAAAATGCCAAAAAAAAAAACCCTATATATTAAAAACAATTTTACTTTGGTGCAGTTTGAAAACAGTTTTGAAAATATATAAAACATTTAAAAATATATAAATTTCAAACAAAAATACAGCATTCACTAGACATTTATCACTTAAAAGCCTGTCTGAAATGAAAGGTCTCTGCCTGATGACAGAAGGACAAAAGGGAGGGGGCCAGTCTGACTCAGGCACTGCATTCTAAAGCTTGAGAGCAGCCCATCTCACATCCTCACTCATGCCCTCACCCAACAAGCTTGGGAGGGTGATGGAACTGAGAGAAGGGCCATCCTAGATGATCTTTAAAACCTAGTGGGCTCCGATGCAGTGATATGATCCTTCAAAAAGCCTGAACCAAAGTCATAGAGTTTTAGAAATAATAACCAGCACTTTGAATTGGGTCCAGAAATAGACTGGCAGTCCTGTTGCCTATAACCTATTGTGATACAGGCATGTTTACAATAAGCATATTTTTCAGATGTGTAAAAAACAGAATAAAGAAATAAAAAAAAATAATTAAATTCAGAACAGATGGAATTGAGGAAAGTATTAAACTTGCTACAAGCCTTAACTATACTCCTTACTGAGGACAGTCACAGTGATACAACTAAATATATGTGACAAGAACAGGTTTAGATTGAATCTTATACAGTACTCTACTTTCTCAGGTTAACTGCCACTCTCACCTAGCTAGTGGTCAGTTATACTCCCTCTCCCTTTCTTTGTACTTAAATGACAGCTTTCCCTCTACCCCATTCTATTGTGGAGGAGAGGCCTCACTCTTGACATGTCCGTGGACCAAGCCATCAGACCTGTCAGGTTGCTTTCTTACAATGGATAAATGGAAACTCCGTGTACAAGACCATTTAAAGAAACAAAGGCCATTGTCTTTGTGCCTGCTCTACAATGCCAGAGACATTGAGCCTGCTTCGTAGAACAGGCACAAAGACAATGGCTGAAATATTGTTGCGCTGTTAGGCAAAAAGCATAAGTTGTGGAATATATTGCCATAAGTTAAGAAGCTGCACATGACTTAGCAAGCAACAGATATCTATAGGGATTTCTTAACTTGCAGCTGTTCACTTCCTTTGCTTTTTGCCTAACTGTCAAACAGGATTTCAGTCTGTGAATCACATTCAGTTAGACAAACTTATGTTTAATGTAACACTATTACAGTGAATGGTAGATAGTGTCACCCTGCCATAAAATAATTATCTTTTAAAATAAAGGGGGTTGATGCAAAGAATGCTTGCAGAAAATGAAAACTGACGTATGTTTTGTAAAGTTAAGCAATACCATAAATCAGTAAAAACCAAAGACAAACATAGCATAAGGCAGTAATGAGGACAAAGATCAATTCAGCAAAACCTCAACTTACCAGTTGAAATGCCAGCTAGAATAAAAAAAAATCTTCAGTAGGTTGTGCAAGGTTTATAAAGCAGATCTCCCAGGTTAGAAAGTTCTATAGACTAGGCAGGGTCTCAGGAAAAATACTCCCACCTCTGCTGCCACCATAGGAGACAGAGAAAGGCTTTCCCTGAAGTTCTTAAGAAACAGGTATGCTGACACTGTCCTTAAGCTTTCCTAGGTTTGAACCATTTAGAGAAGTCAAATCTTGTTGTAGCGCACTGTCATGACTGAACTAAGATTACTAAGACGTAATACAGTATATGGCTTTCTTAGGAAGTCACAAAGTATCTGAACTAAGATTACTAAGACGTAATATATGGCTTTCTTAGGAAGTCACAAAGTAGTTTAACCAAATCAAAGTTGTTCTGCTTGTGGCCAATGAAGATTCATTTAAGAGAGAAAATAAATGTGGGGCACTGTACAGCATACCACAGTAAGACATTGTCATTTGATTGTACAGTTGTGTGTGGAAATTGAATTTTAGTGTAGTCAGTGAAAGTTACTGTACGTACTTGTTCATCCTTTTTAGCATGGAAAAACCTAGAATACTTCAAGATTGTCTCAACATTCTGAACAATGTTGATAGTTAAGAATGTTGCCTTAGTAACACTGAAAAGAATCTTGAAGCATTGTTCCATGAGCAGGCACTACAGCTGGACCTTGACCTTGGTCATGTTGCCCATTGAATTCTGTCCCGCCTGTGTTTGGAAAGCCTCTGTTATTTTGAACAACATCAGTTGGTCATTTCACACATTACATAAGCAAATGCTGATCTTCTGTCAATGTGATGCTGAACAAGAAGGCGCAACACATTATAGCTCTTGACAACTGCATCTTTATGGTGCAGGTGCCTAATAGCATGTACTTATTGCATGGTTGCTTCACTCTTCAAGTATGCTCTTTAAAAAATCTTGGAACACACCTAAAAGTACAGTGAGAAGTTACGCTAAGTTCTTTTGAAGAGTTCTTCTTCATTTCCATTGGGATGGTATGAAGGTAAAAAAAATTGGAAGATTTTGCTTTAAGAGTGGCAGTTTTGCTAGTGATTTGATCTCTATGAAAAAAAGAAGATGAGAAAGTTGTGAAATGTATACATTATATCATATAAAACAGTTCTAAGCCAAACTCTGTTGACCACCTGAATAATCATACTGCTGTCTAATTATGCTTTGCAGCACATTAAAAGATGTACAAATGAGGTTTTCAACCCTGTCCTTCTTTCCCCTCTTGTCAGACACTACCATGGGATCTATGGACGGTAAGGTGGCTTTTTGGTTTTGCATGTTGTCATTTGCTTGCTTGTTTGTTTCTAATTTCATCAATATATGTGTTCTACAAAACAGTGTAAGGGAAGGGGCAAAATAAGAGTTCTGACTCCAAAGAGCTTGCAGTCTACATTTTTGACAATGGAGGATGATGGGAAATGATAACTTGATTATTTTGCACAAATGCAATTATGAGTATTTAGATTCTGGTTGGTTTTGTTTGGGATATATACAGATAGGTTTTCTCTGTGTGCATGCACATTTGTGTTTTAGAGCAAGAAACTTTGAAATCAACTTCATTAAAGATTTTACATATATGTGGGGGAATACTCTATAGCAGTGGTCCCCAACCTTTTTCTGTCTGCGGACCGGCTGGGGAAGGCGGGGCACCCCCTGTGTTTGCGTGCATGTGTGAATGGCAGCATGGTGCTTGTGGGGGATGCTCGCTCTCATGCACATGCATGAACTGTGCCAGCACCGTTTGTGCATGCACATGAGCACCCGCACAAGCACGATGCCACCATTCACACATGTGCACAAGCATGCGCACAGGCGCAAACGGGTGAGTGTGTGCGGAGGGTGGGGCAGGAGGTCTGTCTTCGCAGCCCGGTCCCGCTCAGGCCACAGACTGGGGGGTGAGGACCTCTACTCTATAGAGCATGAGAAATTATTAAGGTTTTTAAAGCAGAAAACACAGAATCCATTTGTTTTGAATACCATTTCCCCATTTTGATGGTTCTGCCCTAAAGTCTTGATACTGAATGATTTTGGTGAACTTTTTATATAGAAGATCCTAAGCTCTGACCAGGAACTTTCTTGAAATGTTCACCTTCCAGTTCTGCAGTACAAATACTCATAGTGTTTAATGTTGCATGGTTTCATCGTGAAGGCTTTAACTTATATATATATATATAAGTAACACATGTAAATGCAGTGAACTAGTATAACTGATCTTAAGTTTCACTAAATTTAGTACTTCAGTGTTACTATATTCCCAGCCATTTTCTCGGTACAGTAAAATCTGGTTTTGCCTGCATATGTCCTCTGCAAAGATTGTGTCAACCAGCCACATAATAGAAACCCTGCAAAGTCTTTGATGATATATTAAGGTCTTTTCAAAATGACAGAGAAGATTAATAGGCCTTGGATAATTCAAAGGCAAATGCAGTTTAGCTTGGAAAGAATTGCCTCTAGCAGAAAGAAGATCTGGCTGTGACTTGAAGGAGCAATAAAAGGTGGTGGTTCTATAGACAAAAATTAAGCCATGTATTGGCAAGTGCTAGGTAGGAGTCAAGGTTACCCACAGTTCAAATCTAAAAATTATGAAGGGCCAATTTGGTAGCCCAAGAAATGGAATCAGTATTCAAAGACCTGCTGAAACAGTGCCGTCTTACATCCATTCCGGAATTCCTGTAAGAACATATTTCACAGAGACTCAAAAAGAGAATTCTGTTGGCGTGGGTCCAACTCCAAAGGCTTGATATGGCAATTGGTGTGGGTCCAACTCCAATGGCTTGATATGGTGTTTGCCTCTCCAAAAGATTGGATAGTAAAGCTTCCAAGGGCACTCTGTTAGGGAAAACAAACCTTGGAGCCTATGATAACACGTTACACAGAGTCTCTTATCTGGTAGCTTCAAATCCTCCCCCTAATGAGCAGAGTAAAGACATGGATGTATAAGAAAATGCATGAAGAGAGTTCTAATAATACTTATAGCATAATATATTAGACTTGATCAGACATATATACAAGGCAATATATACGTTGGCATAGACATCTCAGAGCAACATACTGTAATATTCACAGAAGTAATGACCACCAGATTCACAACTGAGTGGCAATGTGCTGTTCTCATCTCTTGCTTAAATAGTGAGAGCAGCCTATCACTGCAGACATAGCAGCTGAACATGGTTGACAAGCATTACCTAAGCTTGTCCCATCTGTATGCTATCAGTCATCCATTGACTTGGCATTACAGGCATGGCTTTGCATACCTAATACATCATTAAATTTAACCTCTTGTTCACTTAAAGGAACAAATCCTGACAAATTCCGGAACACAGGGACAGCAATATGACAAATATTTACCAATTATATTCAAGCTGAACAACTTCAACAGGCAGCACCTTTAAAGGGCAGTGGCAGACAACTTCAACTGGTGTAAGGCTTTATACTGGTAGAGGCAGCCAAATGGGTATTTAGATCCCAAGCCGAGTATTAAAAAACTAACACCCTGAATCAAACCCAGAAAACCACTGGCAGCAAGTGTAATTGATGCAAAATAGTTGTCATATGATCACATGGGGAGGAGGCATCTGTCAGTAATTTAGTGACTGTGCTGTGCCAGTTAAAGCTTCTATCTTCAGGGGTAACTGCAGGTTAGGTTCTTAACCTTGGGTTACTCAGGAGTTTTGGACTGCAACTCCCAGAAGCCTTCACCACCAGCTGTGCTGGCTGGGGTTTCTGGGAGTTGCAGTTCAAAAACAGTTCAGAGGTAACTGCAGGTTAGGTAAATTACAGTAGTCTGATCTTGAAGCATGTATCACATCTGCCCTCTCCAACTAGGGAGAAAGTTTGCAAATCAGACAGTAGTCTGATCTCGAAGCATCTATCACATCTGCCCTTTCCAACTAGGGAGAAAGTTTGCAAATCAGAAACAGATGGTAAAACGCTAACCTGTCCATAGCAACCATCTTTTTCCCTATTGGGGTCTAATGAAACACACCATGCCCTTACCTGGTTCCCAAGGGGACTCTTTATTCCATCAACCTTTACAAAGGTGACTCCTGGATTTGTGGTTGCTGAGTGACCAACATCACTTCTGTATTATCTGGATTCAGCTTCAGTTGACTCTCAGCCACTTGACCCTTATGTGTGGACAACAATTAGGCACTGTTACAACTGCATCTGGCTGTTTGGTAAATGAGAGTTATAACTCTTGGTAACATTCAGACTCTAAATCTATGAATGATCTGTTCAAGTGTCTCATTTATTTGTTGAACACCACCTGTGCTAAAACTAAACCTGGAAGAATGCCACCAAACAGTTGCCTGGCATTGATAAGCAGCTTTCCACTATCACTTTCTGAGTGATTTTGGACAAAAAAAGGCAAAAACCATTAGATAACTTTTCCAGCAAACCCCAGATTATTCTTCAATCATTTCGATAATATATTATGATCTTCTGTATCAAAGACTGCTTGAAAGGTCTAGCAATATTAACAAGGACGACTCACTTTTGTACAAATGACAATGGACAACATCCACTAGGGTCACCAGAGCTGTCTCGGTACCACAGCCCAGGTGGAAGCAAGAGTGGAAGGGGTAAAGTGCAAATGTTTCCTCCAGGTATTTCTGGAGTTGCTCTTATACAACCTTTTCAGTAACTTTATCCAGAAGGGGCAGGTTAGAAACTGGGAGCGAAACAGACATTTCTCTCTTGTCCATAATAGGCTTCCTTAATAGAAGTCATGGTTGAAAAAAGCCAAGATGGCAGAGCATGAACAGCAGCATTTAGGTGCTCCACTAGCTTTATTTAATTTGTCTGTTGTAACTCGCCATATCTGTCTGGAGTGTTTTGTTTTCTCATGGGCTTAATATCAGAGTGCTGTTTCCTTGTGGTGGCACTGCGGGTTAAACTGCAGAAGCCTCTGTCATAAGATCAAATCCACACGATGGAGTGAGCCCCTGTCGCTTGTCCCAGCTCCCACCAACCTAGCCGTTCGAAAGCATGCAAAATGCAAAAATGCGAGTAGATAAATAGGTACCACCACGGTGGGAAGGTATTGGTGTTCTGTGCCTAGTTGCGCTGGCCACGTGACCACGGAAGATTGTCTTCAGACAAACGCTAGCTATATGGGTTGGAAACAGAGATAAGCACCACCCCCTAGAGTCGAACAAGACTGGAGAAATTCTCAAGGGGAACCTTTACCTTTATCTGTCTGGAGTGTTTTGTTTTCTCGTGGGCTTAATATCAGAGTGCTGCTCCCTTGCTGCTTATAAGCCGCCTAGAGTGGTCGAAATGACTAGATAGGTGGGGTATAAATACAATGAATGAATTAATGAATGAATGAATGAATGAATGAATGAATGAATGAATGGATAAATAAATACGGCATTTTCCCTTGAGAAAGAAGACTACAGAATAGCATAATTCAAGCAAGCACTCATCAGACAATTTGCCCAGTTTTTCCTATTCAATAAAAAGCAAAGAGCTGTGGATTTCTCCTAATACTCCTTGGAGGCCAACTAGAAGGTTGCGTTATTTATGTAACTGAAATTAGTGTGTTTTTTTTTAAAACCTGTTAGGCTCCTGCAGATGTTTTGCTGAGTTCCTGATGTGTGAAGTTCTGTTCTGGAGGGAACCCAGACAAGACAGGTAATCCTGGTCAGCTGAAAGGCAGATCAACCTGTACTGGATAGGGTTACACTCCCTCTGAAAATACAAGAGCTCAGGTTAGGGGTGATGGTGATACATGCCTTAATTGCACCCCAGCTGGATTACCATAATGCACTCTGTGTGGGGCTGCCAGTCAAAAGTGTCAGGAAACTTCAATGGGTCCAAAATGCAGCAGCCAGACTGCTGACTGGGATGGGTTACAGGAGTCACATAAGGTAAAGGTTCCCCTTGGCAATTTTTGTCCAGTCATGTTCGACTCTAGGGGATGGTGCTCATCCCCGTTTCCAAGCCATAGAGCCAGCGTTTTGTCCGAAGACAATCTTCTGTAGTCACATGTCCAGTACGACTTAGACACGGAACGCTGTTACCTTCCCACCGAGATGGTCCCTATTGATCTACTTGCATTTGCATGCTTTCGAACTGCTAGGTTGGCGGGAGCTGGGACAAGCGACGGGCACTCACTCCATCGCATGGATTCGATCTTACGACTGCTGGTCTTCTGACCCTGCAGCACAGGCGTCTGCGGTTTAGCCCACAGCGCCACCAAAACAGCTCCACTGGCTGCCAATCCATTTCCAGGCACAATTCAAAGTTC